GATCGGCCGAGCGGGAACGGTTCACCGCGAGGGAAGCTAATTAACGAGCACGCGAACGGAACGCGATACGTACGCGTTCCCATTATCGGGCCGCGATATGCGCGAGCCGTACGATTCTTTCGCGCGCTTTAACGAGCCATTCCGGTCTGTCCCCAGAAAAATATCGATCTTCCTTCACTTGGAAAATCTGGGATGATTTCACCTGGGGGGTAGAACATGTTCAATTCTTAATATTTAGCTGTACGTTAAGCCCCGGTGCAGTTAACCGGGTCATCTTCGATCCCGAGCTCGTGAAACGGTAGAGCGATCCCGATACCCGAGGAAAGAGGGACAAAGGGTGAAAGGATGAGGCGGCAGGGATGGTCAGGGGTGAAGCGAGCATACGTGGGACAGCGTATCTACGTTTAGAGCGTATAGCAAGTGATAAACGACCGGAAGGAAGCCAGAGGCGTTTCCACGAAAGTTACAGGCAAGCCGGAAGGCCGAAAGACGGGATGTGGTTGGTGAGTAAGTGGCGTCGACGCGTCAGTGTGCGCGTATTCTGCCCCATTCCAGCTTCTCTCTCGTTTCGTCGTGCTTCTCTAAGTAGGCAGCTGGTTAACGTTGCTATCGTAGCGAACGAACGAAGAAAAAGAGGAGAAATAGCCGGGGAAAGAGTGATAAAGAGGCCGGAGGAAAGACGGGGAGAGGGAACGAGAGAGAAACGCGCGCGCAGGCCGGATGTCGAGTTTCCAATGTCGAGTAGATCGTTTTACCCGGGCTCGCGATTAATTTTGCCAACGGCGAATACCGACGATTATCGTCGCGTCGACGAAACCGTGTGCCGAATTCTCGCGTACCGATCGAAGGAATGCTCGTCCCGCTGTTCAAGACGCGCCCGATCTCTGGGAATCGATCTTCGTCGAACGTGGAATCATGGAACGTGGATCGACAGGGTTAGAACTGAAATAATAGAACAGCAGAGAAAATGAAGCTTGAAATTTGGATCCCGTCGAGTGGAATTTAGACAGAGATTTAGACGAAGTCCAGCGATTCCAGGCATTTGGGGTATATGAAGATCAATTGGACGAAAGTAAATTAAATAAATATATGTCTTGGAACGAAGGATCCTGTAAACAAGCTAACAGAACTTTGTTCGAGCGGTACGCGGTTAAAGAAGTTTGGGGACCCCTGATCCGGAAATGCTTCATTTCCTTATTAGAACTCTTTTTCTAATAGTTTCTCTAGACACGTGTCCCGGGAATACAGTCGACTTTTTGTTCCTACGTATGCTCTCGTACGTTTCTTAACAATCCGTTTTCGTGGGTTCGAGTAATCGAGACTCTCAGCGGGAAAAATGTGGGAAAGGGTGTTCGGGGTTACCCTGTTATTGGCACAAGGGTTAATTCGTCGTTTGGTTGGATAAATGCAAAAAAGGGGTCAGCTCTGTCGCCGGTGTAGATTGTTTGGCGAGGTAACCCTCCCCGTCGGGGGAGGGTTGTTCCCCGAGGGGGTGTTGATTTCCACGTGTCTCAGGTTCAGATGGATTTCCGTGGAAGAGCAAAGAAAGGAAGAAGAGTAGGGCGATAGGGGAAAGCGGGAGGAAGAAGAGACGGAAAGAGGGTCGGGGTGTTGGCATACTCGGTAGCAGACGCGGCGCGGCAAGCGAACGCGCGAGACGGGAACCGGAAGTCTATTTTCGTGTGCCGCACCGATTTAGAAAGCTTTATAGTTTGTACGAGCCTGAGCGGCTAACAGCCAACCGTCGTCGGCGTGGCTCGCTGCTTTGAGTGCATGCACAAATTGAGATTTGTGCGGCGTTCTCTCCGTTCTCTGTCTCTCTCCGCTCCAGCGGATACCGCGAGTATTTTCAAACCTACGTGAAATACCAGCTCGCCCCGGAGATAACTCCGTTCCCTTGGAAAACACGATCTACGATTAAAAGCCCCTCGAATCGAGGGCCCACGCGTCACCGACGGAAGAAACGGCCCCGAGTTATCCTGCTCGTCACGGTTGTCTCGCCGCGAACTATGCACTTGGCTGATATTTCAATTAACCTTTTCGCTACGAACAACGCGCGTACACGTGCCAAAAATCCACCGCTCGCACCAGATAGTATTCAACTGTTTTAACGTGTAATAACGCGCGATGAAACATTCGAATGGTTGGGGATCGAGATAAATTCTTCAGCGGGTTGCTCGCGATCTCGAAGATTTGGCGTCGATCATAATCGTTGCGAGAAGGATCATCGGTAATTACTGTTGAGACCATGTTGTTAGCGCAACACAAATAGCCAGGGCATAATTTTATTTCAAATATCCTATCTGGTTTCGTCGATTGCGCGACCATAAGGCGCAACAGTTCTGTTCACGTTTCTCTATCGTTGATACTCGTGATACACGTTCTTCGAGTAACATCGGTTGCGTTGGCTTCGAGTCGCTTTACTAAACTTAGATCCATTCAGAACGATGTCTGCTCTCGAATCCGGTCGGGTGTGTGTTCCGTGGCACGTTTCTTGGCGACAGTAAACAAGGGAATCAGGCTGCAACCAGCAAGACCGTGCTAATTCCCTCGCTCAAAGATCGACAGCATTTTAAAAACTATAATGGAGCAAAACAAGGATCGATAGGACATATAACTCTTCTTAACGACGTAACGTAGCCTTAATAATAATATAGTATTAATGCTCTACTAATACTCGTAACGATGTCCGACGTTATTCGTAGCCACAGGGAATAATAAGAATGCGATTAGAATGTAGATTAGATAATTAGGAGATAAGGCTACGGAAATCCGGCTATATTGCCTGTAGAATAAACGCAACATAGTTGCCTACAATTTGCTAATTGCTTCGTTGTGTGGAATAACAAGAATTCTCTTGATTAATGTCTCGCGAACGCGTGTTATCGCGTATAATGATTTTGTTCACTGGTGATTCAATAAATAGGAGGAACTGTGAATTGCTCATATAAATATAGAATTATATTTTTGTCCCTTTTTAATAGTCTCGATGAAAAAGAGATTTTCACGAGTGCTACGGACGTAGGGTCGCGCCGACAGCCAAACAGACCTTTCGAAGATCAGTTTATTCGCCTCGATAGGTCTCTTTGTCAGACTTCCATCGATCATAACAGCTTAATATATCTTTAAGAGCCTAATTAATACAGGAAGCAAATATCTTTATGTACCCGGTCGAGTGCTCTCTTCCGGACGGGAAGAGTGACGCTAATCACCGGATATATCGGGCGACAAACGTCGGTATTCATCAGTGGCGTAGTTCGCTACCGGTACCGAGTATCAGCGTATCGCCAAGAGATAACGGACGGAGCGAGGAAACGTTTAACAAAAAAGGGAGAGCGGACCACGTAGAATGATTAAACCGAAGGGTGAAATAATTCACGTATTGAAAATTAAACGTCGCTCGTGGAACGACGAAGCTAAAAACTCTACGATCGACTAGAGCTGTCTTTTCGTTGTCAATATATAAAATACGCTTACGTAATTTGTTATTGTCGTCTTCTGGAGACAACCAACTCTTTCTTTCAGTCATTTAAGTTTGGATACTTTTCTACGATAGTGATTACAAATCTTGATTTTTTCTTGCCCATATAAGGGTTAAAAAGGAAAGAAAGAAGGCGAGCAGAGCACCGTCGGACGTAAGACGGCGCTTTCTCGGGCCTCGGTGCAATTATGTATATATGGTAATGTTGTCAGGTGAGACTCCGGAGGAGAGTGTCGAAAATCGGACGATCGCAGCACCATAAAAGTAACGAGACAGAGAGGAACAGGGAGAATACGGGAGACGAGAAAACGTTAAGGGGACGAACCGGCGAGGTTCGTCTCGAGCCGGCTACAAACGCGATCGTGTGGGCATATTGCTCTTTCGGCGTGGGTTTCGAAACACACACTCCCGGGCATATTCGACCGGTCATTGTCCATCGATCGACACCGTGCTTCTGCTTCGCGCGACGTCGATCAGTTCGCTGTCTAGTTTGGCAATACCTTTTCTTATATTCCCGCTAAAGATCAACGGTCGTGTTCGTAGAAACGAGGACTGTATGGTTGAAACCGATGAAAGAATTGGCTCGAGACACCTCCCACCACTCCATTCCGTAAGGTAAATTCTTCTCCCACCTTTGTTTGGGCAACGATTAGCGACGGAGTCGAGCGTACGAGTTCCGTCGAAACTTCATCGAGCAACCGGAGTTTCTCTATCGAATTCTTTTATTATAATAGTTGACCATTATACGAGAAAGAACGTTATAATTTAGATACCTGGGAGGGGAAATCCCAGATAAATAGAATCACTAATTACAGTCGTCATTTCGAAAGATAAAGTGGCGGTCTACGCGTGTCTACGTGCAAAGTCGCGTCCGGGTTTATCGCCCACTTGGCGCTCTTGCAGCTGCAGGTGTGTTACGGCAATAACAAGACTCTAAACGACATGCTCGAGCTTTCTTGTCTCTGTGCGTTGCTCTATAGGGTGCTCCTAAATTCGAAGATCCGATCTGCTCGAAACGTGCCACCGGACAGCCCCGTCGGTTTTCTTCGAATTTTCGCGCGGATTCGACGAGGAATATTATCGCTCTTCGCAAGATTGGCCCGTCGAGGTTTCGTGGCTCGTGCTCGGAGGTGAAAATGTTCGAAAAACTTCGAGGACACTCCGTGTACGTCGGCCCACAAGATCCAGCAACCTACGTGCCCGCGTATCTGCCTACTCGGTCCAACGATCCTCGCCCGGTATTCGCGGCGAAAACGTATCGTCGGATTACTTTAGGTTGATACCTGAGTGGTAGACCTTTGTAGCAGCGACGTTGCTGATTTTTCGGCTCTTAGCCAATGTTTGCGACCGTAGAAAAAATTGGCAGAATACGACGTTGATAGATTAAACGCTGCGAAGAGAGATCTACTTAACCGACAGAGTAAATCAATCTTGTCGACCGAATAGTTTAGGTCTACCTTGCCGATCCTGTGGTAACGTTAGAGATCTGCCTAACAATTTTCTCGTTTTGTTTTTACAGTTCGTGGAGCTGGGCCTGGTCACGAGTATAGAGTACAACCATAAGTCCGTGGAGTCTGCGAGAAAGGGTCAAGAGGTGTGCGTGAAAATCGAGCCGATACCTGGAGAAGCGCCTAAGATGTTTGGACGTCACTTCGACGAGAAGGATTTCGTCGTGAGCAAGGTAGGTTTATTCGGTTTGTCGTAGTCGTTGTAACGGATGCAAAGATTGCGTTTCTCGCAACGAATTCTATGCTTTGGAGATTAATTTCCGTTGCGATAATGGGTCGTTCCGCTTAAACCGGACGTGCCGCGTAAAATGGCAACATAAATGGCAACGTTTCGTCGTGAAACAAAGCACGAGGAATAAAGGAGGCGGAACGGCTAGGAGAGGCGAACGTTTCAGCGTTTCGTAGGTGCTCACAGCTGCTACGAAGGAATTCGATCGACAGGTGGTCCTTGATGAAATTCCGATGGAAAACTACGCGTTTTGCCAACCCTCCTCGCTCTTACCCTCGTTGGTCGATTCGCATAGCTTTGCAATTTCATCAAAATCAGTGGCTAGCGAGACGGAAACGATCCCTATTAGTATGCGAGACTCTGGTCGAAAAAGGAAGATGCACATCCGGCAACGATCAGGCGTCCACCATCGACTTCCGCTCTTCGCAGAACCTTCGTTCCTTTCTCGTTTCCCCTCCCCTCGCCTCTTTCTTTTCCGCCTTCCGCTTTGGATATCGACTACGGATCGACGAGCCGCATACTTCGACGGAAGCGTAAATAGGATGTTCAACGCATTTCGTTCCACGCGCACACTACGATTCACCGGATCCAGTAACCGTGAATGTAGATCGAGACACAGAATTCTCTCGCGCGACATTATAAAAAAAGGACTATTATTCTAATAGGAAATAGTGCTTGCGTTGGAATCGAATATTCGTGGAACGCGTTTCCCGATCGTATCGATGAACGATTCGGTCTAACGAGATCGACAGCGGGCCACTGTTTGCCCTGGGTAACGTACGCTGGACTCTTCCACGAGTTCGGTGTTTAACCGTGTCAACTCTTCTTTTCCTGCCGCGTCTATCCGCGCTTTCCGGTTGTGCACGCGCACTCTACGGCCTTTATGCGTGCAGGGCTTCGGCATCTTTGTGTGCTCCCGTGGCGAGCGGAAGTCGTCGTTACCGTTCGCTTCGTAGAATCGATTCTCTGGAATCATCTTGTTCCCACGATGATTTGTAGAGCGACGATTTCGCGCGTTCTCCGACCACGTCGACGTTTGCGTTCGCGGAACTCCAGCCCCGCTTCCATTCGCCTTCCATCTTGGTGTTTGTTGGTTACCGATTTTTGTTTCCATTCGAAAACCGTAAGGCGACAGTGTCTTTTCCTGCTACGTTTTGAATCATAAGATTCAGCCTTTACGGTTTGAGGGGATGTCCTATCATTTTGTTGCGGAGTGTAACAACGAAGGTATCGAACTCGTCGGTGAGATCGTCTGGCTATATAGTAAAACGTCTGCAAAGGTTCCACGAGGAGGACCCTCTTCTGCTGATTGTGCAATGTTGCGCAGATAGAGGCTAGAGCAAGAGAGAACTACGATAAGAGGGATGAGAGAGAGAGTAGGATAGGCAAAGAATTGTACGGAGGGAGAGCTGCCCGATGTGTACATGTGTTTGTGTGGATGTGTACGGGTGGAAGAGAGAACGCGAAAGGATGGGAGAGAGGGAGTGAGAATGAGAGGGGGAGGGAGAAGTAGCAGGGGCGTGGCGGGAGGCAGGCGTCCTCAATAGCCGCGTAAAACCACCATTGTGACCGATCCATGAATGAAACGGGACTTCCGGCCGGGAGTGGGGGCGGAAACAGTTGTAAAGCGTTACGTTAGTGAATGGACCGTGTGCGCGAGCATGCGCCTGTCCTCGCGAAAACCGATTCAAGGAAATTATTCCTAGCCGAGGAGGACGATTAAAGCGTGAAGCGGTCTTCCTAATTCCGACCTGGCGCGCTGACAATTTTCCTGTCTCGTTTTAATCTCGACACTTTTACGGAGTAACTGGCTCTGTTCTACGCCAGCTTTTTATTTACATTTCATTCTGTCGTTTCCACATTGTTAAATAGTCACGGTGGACGACGATCGATTCTATAAAAACATGCGGATTCACGTAATCTGGTCTAATGTGTGACCACAACGGATTTTCTTCGTTTGTTACAGATAAGCAGACAGAGCATAGACGCGTGCAAAGAGTACTTCAGAGACGATCTGGTGAAGACGGACTGGCAGCTGATGGTGGAACTGAAGAAGCTCTTCCAGATACTCTAGGATTCACTGTCCACGGCGGAAACTTGGAGGGTCCAACGGCGGGTCCTTCATGCTGACACCAGGACGAAATCTGCGATCGAGGAGTGGACGAGCCTCCTTGGATCCGTAACCGATCGTTGTCGATCGTTCTCCCAATTTGTAATATACACGCCGAAGTTTTCGATCTCTCTGCCGTTGTGTTTGATATCCGCAAATAATCGGCGCGCACGCCCGTCATGCTTCGTCCTGTGAGATCCCTCGATCGCCTCGGGTTTCTTTGCACGCACGATATTACTTCGCGAATAAAAACTGACAATGAAATATAGAAATATATATACACATCGCCGGGAGCCAGCGAAACAACGCGAAGCTCGCTCCAATTTTTTTGGCCGAAACTTTCGAACGAACGATCGATAGACTGGATTAATCGTTTCACCGAGTTTTCTCGACACGTATTTTTTTAAACGAGCCTTGTAGATGTCTTAGCGAAGTTTTTAAACTGTGTACAGTACTACGCCCCCCCCCCATCCCCTCATTGGATTCAATAACACGAAATCAAAAGTTAGACGATTCTAGCGTGATCATTTCTTCCGTCGTCGATCAACGACGACGATCAGCCACCGGGGAAATTTATTTTTAACGATTTCCGCGATGTTTTGGAGACTGATCCAGCTGGATGGACAGTTTCTGTTACGAAGCTACTTCGTGGCAACGTCAGAGACATTTTCGGAGTCTCGTCAGTACTTAACCATCGACTTTCTTGTCGGCGATTTAACGCTTTGACGGCTAAACAATTCGCTCGAAGACTTCTGCCTGCCAACGCGACCATTAACGAGTTTTTTCGATTCGAAATTTTGTCATTTGGCATCTTATGTATAGATCAAATACCGAACAAAATTTAATTACGTCCAATGAGTCGACAGATAGAAATCATATGAGATCTTTGGTCCTTGGATAACAGACATAGAGCACATCTACTTCCTCTGTTATCCCAACAATTTTCGTTACAGAATATTTTCGAATTGTGGATTTGCATCGGAGGTCGGCAAACTCCATGTGGCAGTGGGCATATCAGTGAGTAAATGTCGGGCAATACATCCGATTATAGTTATTAAATAATGGTCGTAGTAATAAGACCGAGTTCTTAAAACTACTACCGTGATGAGACTTAGTAAATTACAATTATGTTATATATTAATCAAAGAGATAATAAAAGCAATAAGCTTGCTTTCAAATTCTCGATGCTTTTTCTCGTGTCTATTTTAGATATTTAATTATTTGTTTAGCAAGAAACGCAATAAATTTTTATTGTATATAGTATTCGATATTTGTTCTAGAATTATTAAAATCATAAATCATCGCAAATCAGGGGATACGATTTATCGTTTTGAAACTTCGGGTTAGAAATTGCCGACCCCTGATTCAAACAAGCTAAAAATTTTGGTAAATATAGATGGGTGTATTGAAAACGGCATCCGAAACAGATTATTCTAAACTCCTTTTCTTGGACCGACTGATTTTTATAGATTAAAGGATTAAGATTATAGTTAAAAACTGCCTCCGTGATCGAACAATGGAATTTTGAATTAATATTAATACATAATCGAGTAACGTTGTTTGGTTTATTTTTGTAGTATACAATTACAAGTAAATGAAAAATGTAGAATACTTTCTTTCTGTGTATATATATATTATACATTTACACATTATTACGTGTTATAATATGGTATTATGTAATATATATATAATATAGATATTGTACAAATTACGTAAACAAACATAGATGTTTATACAAACATTCTTTGTGGAGATAAGATAGCACGAACAAGAATAACACTGTCACATCAAGGCTTCAGTATTGTAAGGTGTACGGGAATAGACTTTAATGCATTAAAAAGAATAGACTTTATCATGAGTTCAATAATATGCACAAATACATAAACACGGACTTTAATGTGTTAAAAGTATCATTACGCGGAAGTGTCAAGATAATAATGAACGTACAACATAAGATGCAAACCTAAACGGAGATGATATCGGTAAAATCACACGCGATAACTGGCTGGGGAAGTCACGTATGCGCGACAACGGCTGTCAAAGTGTTAACGAAGATGCAGGAAACAAGAAACTATACCGAATAAGTTACAATCGATACTGTTTCAGACTTCCTGATATGCGAGTCGTGTCCTTTCGAAAGGATCGTTTCATCAGCATTGATGAGCAATAATAATAATTTTTGTATATTTTTTCTCGTAATTTTTAATTATTTATGCCCTGGAATTCGTAAATAGTGGTTTTTGTAACATAAAGTGGGCGAATCGTAGGTCGTAAACAATGTATCTATCATGCCTGATGGGCAAAGATGGGCAAAATGTTTATCCAGATACAAATTTCCAATAATGAATAAACGATAGTCGAGATATATCATTTTGAAACATCCTCTACGAAATTTCTATTCGTAATTTGTTAATCGAATAAAATTCTACCCATCTCTGTTCGTCAGAGCTATACGAAAATAGTATCGATGAGGTTAGGATCGGACACACTCAGGGTTCATCGATTAGGCGACCAATCTTCCAAGAAGAAGCCTCAAACAGTATCGAGCATGAAAACCTGGGTTGTTAAAAGCCTCAGAAATGTTATTCGACTAGCCGAGGATCGTTTAACGTACAATTAAGTATCAGACTTGGGCAAGTTTTATTGTAAAATGAAAAAGGAAATAACCGTTTGTAATAATGTTCCAAGTTGTTTTTTTTTTATTTCCAGCAACGTTATTTGGAAATAACCGAAATATCGATTTATAATATACTAGCAAAAGTTACAGCGAAACTTATCAAACAACACCTTGTATATTTATGATTTATATAAATCATTACTGCATCGTGTATTTGAGGTTATAAATACGTATAATCGGTTATTATTTCTAGAAGTATTTCAAATACGATAACGTGGACGTACTTAAAAAATAAAATAACATCATTCGAAATAGTATTTTATATAAACGTTTATTTCAATTGTGCCCAGGTCTGTTAAGTACATATATCGTTAGCAACGTCTCTATAGCCAGAAGTAATCTCTCGATTATCGAGGAGTGAACATGCGAACAAATTTCATGGTAGTGGATGGATAAAGCAATATCCAGGAGTTAGACGAGATCGGTGATATTTCTAGACGATATGGCTGACCGAGCAACCAGACAGAATAGGTTAGAACAACAGCTTGTTGTTATTGTTGTAGTTGTGCCCGTTTATCTAGGATCGAAGGGTTTGCTTCGCCTCGAGGCGTGTATCCAGGTTAGAAGGAAGCGCAGAGAGACCTTGGAATAATTTTATTACGGCGTCGCCCCCCTCCTCCTACTCCACCCTGTCCTCCCGTCTAACCCCCTTCGGGACGAAAAAAAAAAAAAAGAAATAAAAGTTCCCAGCGATCGTTGCTGAATAGCCTCGGACGAACCGCAGAACAAGAGGCGAAAGGAAGTCCTTTAGCCGTTTCCTAGTTTCCGGCCACTCTTCGAGATCTCGACGAGAACGAGCCGTCGACGAGTCAACGAGTTTCGTCCGATACTACCTCGTGTGCGGTTTATACGCGTGAGGCGAACAAGGCGGTAGCTGTTCAAACGAAAAGGGACTTCCGTCTTCTCTCTTTCTCCTCTTCTCCGCGGACGCGACCACAACGATTCCCTTCCCGCCATTTTTGCGATCGATCTTACATCACATGTTCCGGTTTTTTCGCTCGCGACAGACCAGAGAAATCGCTCGTGCAATATATATTCCCTCCCTTTCCTCCCGAGTTAGTGCCAGCTCGTCCCTTCTTCTCGCGACGATCTTATAAAACGCACAGTGTTCGAAAACGCCGAAAATTTAACCAAAATAACGAACACCAGAACACTACAAACTTTCCTAAACGTACTGGGTTAGCTGAGAGAGCTTGTAGTTTCCCTGTACAAGGCAAGTGGTAATATTTATTGCTTCCTATACTTTGAAACGTTACCTAATTGTATTGGTATTCAATTGAACCATGTTGGTTGCTACGAAAAATTGAAATTTTTATCAGCTTTTCGACGTTTTGGAACACTGTACGACGGCTTGGAACGAAACTTTGGTAATTTTGGCAAGTAGGCCGATTTCCAGAGACAAACAATCGAGTAGAAGAATGCACAAATTAGGAGCGAGTATTCTATTGTTAGAAACAAATTTAGAAGAGAATACGAAAGAATAGGTTATGTTTTGCCAGTTGTTGGCGGGAAAAGGTATAGAATAATTTTTATTTTAGCATTTTTCAAAGAAAATGAGATCATGCTGAATTCTATACAATAAATTTAAATGTGCAAAAAATTATATATGATGGACAATGTGTAAAAATAAGGCATTGAACTTGTTCATATTTTATACGGTATTAATAATTATTATTAACGATTATTCGAATAGTAACAAATAAGAATTTATTTATCTTCTATTTGTTATTTGGTCATTTTTGACATTTTATTCCCCGTTCGTAAGTGCAAGCGTAAAGAGAAGCAACCGTGTCTGTAAAAATAAAAATTATGTTGTTTCCTATATTTGCCACCAGATGGCCGTTAACACCGTTAATTCGTTGCTAAAACTTTGTCGCGAGAAATTCAGTCAGTGTCGGTTAACGTCTAGTCCTTTGTGGTGTTTATAATGCCATAAACAAATCATGCCCCATGAAGATTGTTAAGAGACACGTCCAGAGTACTACAATACCTACCTAAATAACCATGTGAAACATTTAAGAAAATAATCTAGCTACGTTTAATACGGTAAGGCGTGTTGGTGGGCAGAATTGTATTCGAATAATAGACGATGAATATACATATAACTTTCTATTGCGACTTATTTGGAACGTTTATCCGACTGAACAGTTAGTCGAATAAGCCTTAATATTTGTGTATTTTTTATTAGTTATTTGAAATTTTCATCTAGATCGCCACGAAATGGCAAACTTTTATTTTCACAACTTTTTCGTTTCAAGTCTCGAGTCACGGAACTTAATATATTTTGGGTATGATTATGTTGTCAGAATTTCTTACGAGACTTTCAACCATGCAGTCGTATTCTCAACATACACGAATACCCTCTGTAGTCATTAATCTCTTAAATTTGAAATTAATCGTCCTAATTTGTATTCGTAAGATATTGTTTCGTGATTTCGACACCAAAACAATGGAGGTCGCTCGACTCGACTCGCTCGGCGTTTGTTTCGTAGTGCCACGAGGTGTACTGATGTTTGCGGATTGTGTAAATTCTTTCGCCCTATTACGCGTTCAGTTTAATGGGATAGTTTAATTTCAATGTACCTATGTAATGAGTAAGTGTCTGTTAATTATTAGAATATATTCCATAGTTCGAGTTTATCTATATCCAATAGTATTAAACAAGAAATCGAAAGTGATCGCGAAGGACGATTTTGTTATTGAAACTTTGGTGCATTGAGGTTATATCGCTCTTCGGTTCGAAACAAACTCGATGTTTCATTAATTACTTGACACAATTGTAAAGTGACTACGGAGAGGTAGTGTAATTAATTCGGTGAAATATTACTCGAAGCAAAAATAATTCATTCGGACACTTTGCTATCTCTAGTTCCGAACAATCAGTGCTAATATCAGTGTAGGTTTATTGGCAATCCGAAGTAACGAACACTCATCTCGAAGCCATGTGCATTTTCTAACGTGAGGTTGAATATTTTGCAGAAATTTCGTTCCAAGCAAATCCTCAAGGGGATCTAGTTTTCGAAGATAAACGTGTAGAAGAGTAAATGAATTTAATGCTGGCACAGCTCAAGTGCAATTGGAGGTACAAAGAAGTCGCTACGAAAGGCGTCATTCGAAGAAAGGTGCTCGAAGGTAAACGAGCCAAGTCTTGGAAGCCAGGACGAACCTCTGACACGCGTGTTATCAGCGTCTTAGATCACAGGTACGTCGAGTTCAAAATTAAACTAGTCACAGGTTATTGCGACGCGCGTAAGTGGCTAACAAAGGGGGGACACGAAAAGTTCCAAGTATTTTTCGGACGAAATCAGGTCTTGAAACGTAGGAAACGTTTCGAGAAAGCGAAGTGTAGGGAACGTTGATAATTACGGCGGATTTTACGAAGATCACAACGGTGAGAGCTACGACGGATAAACTCGTCTGTCGGTCGGTACTCACGGTCGATTCGTGGAAGCAGAAGCGTGTCTTGCATAAAAGTCTCCGACGTGTTTCCGGTTTCATCGTACGAACGATGAACGCGCGCGCGCGCGCTCGCGGAGAGAGAGGAGAAAGAAGTAGGTGTAGATATATGCGAGAACAGAGGGAAGATAGCGAATGAACGAGTGAAATAGTGTGAGAGAATTTAGAGTGAAAAAGGAAGGGAGAGCATGCGAGAGAACTTAGAGACACACTCACCGAAAAATGGTAGAATTATATTGCATTAATAGAGAAAGGAGAGAAAGATGGGAAATTATATATACATATGAGAGCCTCATGTGTTTTGTATATGTACTCACTTTGTATAAGATAATCGAGTGAACTATCGCGATAAAAATAAAGACTACAAGTTTCACAAGAAAAGATCGATCGACTGGACACTTGCACTCGGGTGTATCAGCGTAACCTTCTTCCTGTTTTTGTTTTCGCCTCTCGGAGAGCATATACGGTGTCACGAGGCTTCGGAAGAAGTACAGGATGTTCCACGAAACTGGGCCAAGCCATGAGATCAAAACCAGGCTGTGTTTTAGCGGTAATATAACCCAATCGATGACGAATATATTTGTAATCGAACAGTTTCCCGAGCGTTCATGGCGGATCGAATTGATAGCTCTGTGTTTATAGATTCTGATCCATCTTTCTCAGGTACGAATTGCCCCTCTTTTTCACGGCGCTCCTAGGCGTCTCTGGCCAATCTGTACACGTAACGAACTTCACTCCCGGCTCGACGAGACTTCGAGCGATGAAATACCGGAAGCCAAGCGAAGTACGACCGCCGAATCCGGAATACTTAAAATTCCCCGGCGAGATACCATGTCTCATTAACTTTTTAATGGTAGATATAACTGTTCCGCTTCCGTCTCGCCGCAGCAGATCGGTAAATTTGAAATATAATTAGCGACGGAGCTCGAAACAAGGCTGTGCACAAGTATCGGCAAAGTACAGAGCATCTATTAATATTTTGTCAATTAGCTTTCAGCGACAGTAACAGCTGCATTTTGGCATAAAGATTCAAAGATTATATATGCATAATCACCAGAGATTCTCCCTCAGAGAGGGCAGTCAAGTGCAGAGGGTTAACATTATTAGTTGTGTCCACTATAACGCTCCTACTGCTAGGGCTATTATTATTAGTTTTGTTCCAAGAATTGCTCCGTGCCAATATTTATGTTCGACACTGTATAACGCAGGAAATGCATCCGTGGAGTACGCGATGCGCTCACGTTCCTTTTCTTCCGCTGGCAGCCCGCGCGTCGATTCTTCGACGTCGTCCGCGCGCTCGCCGGGCCTCTTTTTCCATCGAATCTACGTGTCTTGGACTTACGCCTCGTCCAACTAGGGACTTATGTAAGTCGTTTAATCGGTTTACCGATGCGGTTGCCTCTACACGCATTTACCACACGCTAGTGGGCTAGCCTAAGTGTGTGCGCGCTCATTTCCTCCAATCCCTTCCCCCCCTCCGTGCCCTTACGGTCCCCCCTTCTCGCCCCACCACTTGCCGATACCACTGCCCTCCAGAGTCATCGATACTGCTTGCCCACAGTTGACGCTGGATAGGAACGAACCTCCGATTCGAACAAATTGCTACACACTTTCTTCGATCATTCGTTTTGCCTCCTCAATTATTTCTGCGTAATGACATTTTACAAAATACTGTAAACTGTCGTTGCTGTATAAACACAAAGTTTTTGATAATCCATTAAAGACCAGGTAAATTTTTCTAGCGAATCGTAACAACGCAGTGGCGGATACAAGGAAAAGTACAGGCCCTCCCCCGATGACCCGGATGATGCAATAAACCTACTCTGTAAAATGAGACCCAAGGAAAATGGCGATGGAAGAACCCGTAACTATTAATTCAATTTTCTTATATGACACTTTTAATTGTACAACGATTTTAAGACTCGTCTAATTTTCCATTGTTTTTGTGTGTTACTCGTCCGAAAAATGGCGGCAATCTTCGAGGCGCAACTTTAGGGTTAGAAAAAAAAACGAAACGTCGAGATCTGCCGGTTCGAATCTTTTCCTACGCGAACCAGAAAATATGTCGTGTCCTTGCTGGGAGCAACCGAGAGCACCAAGTCGGCACGCCAAGCCGTGCTCAATGAACACACGTCATTTCGAGTCATTCATGCATCTGCAGGTTGTCCTCGCGCGTCCATACGCAACGCACGTGGCTGCGTGTGCGTTAGCGATGGGAATGATGACCTCGCAAGCGGCGTATCGACGGTTTTCGGTCGGAAGCGTGGCCATCAAACCCGAGATCATGGTTTCGAACGCGTACCAACCTCCTTTCGGGCCCAACGATCGCAAGTACGGGACCGTTCCATAGCTGGAAATTATTTTTATAAAGAACTTATCGTTCGCTTTTTAATTGTGTCTAAAAAATGAAACGCAAAACAAGACAACGCGTTATTCGAGGTAGTAATTGAAAAGAGCCCGGGTCTGGTTCGAATACTATTCGCTCATCGGTTTTACGACGGTATTACGTGTCGTCTATGAAAGATATTACGTAATTTGTTTTCCCGATGCATATGCCGTCTGTGCATTTATAAATTTTAAACTTCGTCGAACATTTATATGCGCGTGGTTAATGTACAGGGTGTGCTGTCTGAAACGGTATAGACAGGGAGAAATTATCGTACGTTGTTTTACTCGTCGTGTATCAATTAGATAAAATCTTTGCCCATGCGTGACACGGACCGTTGCGTAAATTCTGCACTCGTCCGTGGCTTAGGTCACGAAAGATCGCGTAGATAGTTAGGCGTTTACGTGCGTCCAGAAAAACGCCTTATCGTTATCACTCCGTCTCGCCTCCCTCTTCTTTTTCCGCCAGTTTGTGGCCGTGTCTTTGACTCCGGGTTCTTTCCGCTCGCACGGCGCGTTTTTGAAATAATCTTCCTGCTTTTCATCCCCCTCTCGAATCGAAGGATCTCCCATAGGTGTAACGCTCCCCCCCCTCTTTGGAAAACACCGTCGTACAGGGTATTATTCTTTCTCACCTGCGTCCATGTTTGCCTCGTTTCGAATGTAAATACATTGTTTCGAAGGACGTAAAATTTTATCGTTGTCCACACACGCCGCGGAGCAGCGATCGTATAATGTTTAAACATCAGGCGCGATCGAGCAATTGCAAGGATTAAATCACATGTTTGCGGGAACTATCAGCGTTATCATCTGCATGCATCGATGTAAATTCATTATCAGTGTTTGCCTCGACCGGCTCGAGGAAAACCGCGACGTTTTATCGACGCCTCGAAGCCACGTAGCGCCAGGAATTTGAGTAGTTTCGAAAGAAAGAAAGAAAAAAAAACGCGGTGGAAAATATGATACTTTTGCCATCCGATGAAACAAGTGGTCACTGAGGCCAACCGCTGTGCGTAAATATGGGACTGCGAGCGTGTTAATTGTTTTTATTACCCGTAGCAGCTGGAACGGTAGTATTTTTAGGGCCCTGACGGATAAGTAAACAAAAGGAAACACGCGCGTTCGTTTTCCCCGGCGGGAATCGTTCGATGAAAATCGCGACGACTTATCGGCACGCTTCCAGCGGCGGCATTCTTTTGCAGGGAACAGCTTAATCAAGGCCAGCCGGGGGCCCGTTGGTCGGCGCGGGTGGCGGAGAGTCAGAAATGTGTCTTAGTGTGTCGTAGGTTACAAATCGTCCAGGCGAGAGAACTGTAAACAGGCGTAAGGTTAAACGGGCGTACACACTTAAGTGCATTAATGAACGCGCTTAAGATACGCGGCGTGCCGCCGTTTAAATATAGGCTAAACCAGTGTTTCTCAGCCTGACGGCGTTAATACAGCCTATTTAGATCACCAAGACTTCTGCGTCACGGCTATATCTCGCCCGATGCTCCCGTGTAAACGATATCGTGAGAACAAGACGCTAAAGGAACTTGCAACTTCTCTGTGCTCCGAAGATGGGCAATATTTTATTCGAACAAGGTAACTGACCCCATTTACCGATCATTTACAGCTGGATCCCCATTAGCTCTTATTACGTTTTGTTCGAACCAATAACAGGGATAATATTGTACTTAGTGGTGTATTATTTGCAGTCGATCGAAACTGCAAAGAGGACGATTAACGAAGTTAAGGACGCTCGGGAAGCGAGATCGTACAGGTTTACGAGCGTGTCGCTCTTCTTCGAATCAATTTAAAGCAACGATCCACCGTAATTAGGAAGGTGACGCTGCTAGTTAGAAAAAAAAATCTGTCTATTAAGGGGAACAGCGTCCGGTGCCAATTACAAAAAATTTCCAGAGAATATCGACGATCGTTTTGTTTATATATATTTCGCTCTAAAATTGAATCGTCCAAGATGTATATCGCGAAATAGAAACAGCTCCGACGTCCATTGGATCCAGATGCGCTGTCCCCGGGGTCAATTCTTAATTTAGTCTTCAAAGGGCGTCGTCGTTTTTAATTCCCTTCTGGCGACTAGTTAGCGACTAATTCGTGGAAACGTGAACCGATGCGGATTTCACGGTTTCGCGGCAAAACAGGGCTCCTCGAATCCCATAAACCTTAGCCAAAATGCTAATCTCGCCGTTTCAAATTTATTTCTATACGCATGGAACTTTCAATGTTTTTGTAGTCGAAATTATTTTTCTTATGAATTTTTAGAGCAACTGTTGGAATGGTTAGAGTTTGCACGGATGCAGCGGGAGGATCGTTAAATAGAACGAAACGCATCGCGTCGAAGTGTTACGAGATACGTCG